CAAATTAAGCATGATTACTAACTAACTATATAACTAACCCCAGCTACTTATGAGGGTGAGACAGGAGGATGGTTTGAGCCCTGAAGTCCAAGACCAGCTTGAGCAACATAGGTTCTTAAGAATCACACTCTTCAGAAGTATGTATACAATTTAAAATTAAAAATATAATCAGACTCTACAAATTAAGAATTAGAGCTGCTATAAGTCCTAGACTTCCAAGTCAAAACCAAAGGGATCTCTATATTGACTAATTGGTATTTGCTAAAATAATGTAGACAGCCAAGCCAAATGAAACCAGCCTCTTCTATAATTATGCAAATTTTCTATGAAAACAATCGAATATACAGAAGTGAAACTGGGCATGGTAGCAAACACTTGCAATCCCAACACTTGGAAGGAAGAGGCAGAAATGATTGGAAGTTCAAGGTCATATTCTACTACTTAGTGAGTTCAAGGCCAGCCTAGGGTGCATGAAATTGTTTCAAGAAATAAATGAGAAACTGAAACCATCTAGAAAATCAGGACATTATCTGATCTAAAATATGTATTCCTGATTAGCTTTTTAATGAGGCTTTTAAACTCTGTCGAATGAGAAGTTATAGAATACTATTAGCAATGCAAATGATTCCTGTGCACACAAATGCAAATCAATTTTTTCTGAGTATGAATCACTACAATTCATATTCTCATTTTCATTTTCAATATTTTTTGAGGTTGGTTCTATCACAAAGCTCACAATGGCCTCAAACTCATTATGTAACCCAGGATGATCTTGAACTCTTGATCCTCTTGCTTCTTCTACTAAGTGCTAGGATTAACAAATATTAACACACCTGGTTTTTGTATTCTTAATTTTATATCTGAATGTTTCCCTGACTAATTAACAAAATTCTTGATACATGTTTTGTTTGTTTGTTTGTTTGGTTCTTTGGTGCTGGAAATTAAACCTAGGGCCTTGTGTGTGATGAACATGTAATCTACCAAAGAGTTACACCCTCAGCCCCATACTGTGTATGCAAGCCATACACAGTTTTCAGTCTATAAAACAACCCAAGGCACCGGGCAGTGGTGGTGCATGCCTTTAACACCAGCAGTTGGGAGGCAGAAGCAGGAGGTTCTCTATGAGTCTAAGGCCAGCCTGGTCTACAGAGTGAGTTCCAGGACAGCCTCCAAAGCTACAGAGAAACACTATTTTTTTTTGGGGGGGGGGGAACAAGGACGCGCAACCCAAGGCAGGTGTAACAATACACACCAAAATCTCAGTACTAGAGGCTGAGGCAGGAGGATTCTCACACAACACAAAAATGGACTACAAAGTGAATGCCAGGCCAGTCAGACATGGAATAAGAACCAAACCACCAAATAAATAAGCAAACAAATGACACATCAAAGAAATTTCTGTTTGGCTTATACATTAATTTGGATTTTTATATCTGAATGAATATACTATTCTATAGATTTTAAATATATATTTAGGGTAATTAAATTCTCTTTCATTTTTCTGAGAGCTAATAGCTAGTGTTTGGCATGTGCCTGTAACCTCAGCACTCAGGAGATTGAGGTAGGATTATGTACTAAAAGGCCAGCAGAGACTACCTAGCAGGACCCTCTCAAAACAAAATAAAAACATCGATTACTCAAAGTTTAGGCTAAAGTCCAAAAAGTTAAATCATGACACATCAAGCTAATCTAGTGATTGCTCATCTACATGCATATAATCAACAACTGATAGCATATTTTATGTTTAGTTCAGAATATAAAAATAATAAAATCTTACCTGTCTATAGTATTTTTCATATACAGGATTTCCACTTGACAACTAAAATAAACAATAAATAGCAATTACATTTTATTCAATAATTCCTTGTGATACATTCAGGATTCATCCAAAAGATATTTGAGAAACAAAGACAAAAAAGATAAAAACATCCTTTATCTCAGGAAGATTTTTTTTTCTTCTTTGAGGACAAGGAGGAGAATGAATAAACACAGTCACAAGAATTAGAAAAATTCAGGAAAACAAGAATCGAAGGTTTTTGTTCATGCATAATTCCACCCAGAAACCCAATCCATAACAGAAGTCAGTTTAAAGCTTTCTTCAAGATGTTCATCCTTTAACCAAGCAACCACAGTATTTAAAAATCAATTCAAAATCTACTTCAATAAAGGAATAGTGATATAGTGCAATAGGAAAGCATTTGCCTGGTATGTAAAAAGGCGCAATTGTGACCACAGCACCACAACAAACAACCTGGGCTACACAAACTGGTGTAATGATGATGATCTGATGTCATCAGATTTGAATTGCTTATATGCAGGCAGTGCCACTCATTTCACACTCAGTTCAAAGGGTGCCTTGTTCAACTGATGAACATAATAGCTCATCTGAAAGGCTGCTTAGGAATATTAATGCTCAAAAGATCAGGTTTGCCGGTAGAGGAATATGGAAGGATGTTCAGGACAAAGAAAGGCATCTAAGAAGATTTAAAGGATGACTAGAAAACAGGCACTTATAAAATTATGGAAAGAAGAAAAGAGGGTGAATCTACTTAGAGATAGCATGCATTTAACAAAGTTCAGCTACATCTGTACAAACTAGGAAGAAATATGGACATGGTGGCACATGCCCGTGTACCTAGCTGTGGCCAGTCTGACCTATATAGCATGACCATCTCTCTCTCTCTCTCTCTCTCTCTCTCTCTCTCTCCCACACACACACACACACACACACACACACACACACACACACACACAGAGTAATGAACAAGAAATAACAATATAACATTGTTGGGGAATATTTTATAAAGTGTGTGACTTTTGTTTATTCTGTATTTGTCTAACTGTGTGAAGCTGTGTTACTCTGCTTGTCTAAAATACCTGGTGGTCCTAATAAAGAGCTGAATAGCCAATATCAAGGCAGGAGCAAGAAGAGGCAGGGCTGGCAGGCACAGTAAAAGCAGAAGGAGAAATGAGGAGCAAGGAGCAGCAAGAAAACAAGGAGAGGATGACATCGGGGCCAGCCACCCAGCCTGCCCAGAGTAAGAAAGAAAGTAAAATATATAGAAATAAGAAAGATAAAAGCCCAGAGAGAAAAGGAAGATGGGCTAACTTAATTAAAGCTGTCAAGAAACAAGCCAAGCTAAGGCTGGGCATTCATAACTAAGAATAAGCTTCGGTGAGTGAGTTATTTGGGTGCTGGGTAACAGGCTCCTCAAAAGGCCAAAAATCCAAAAGAGTAAAACATTTTGCAACAAAACATCTTTGTAGAGGACAATTTATAAAGGGGCCCCATCTATCTACCATAGCAGACATGGTCTAAGTTAAAGAAACAAGGATACAAAGGGAGACAAATTCAAGAATGATTATTTGTGCATGCATGTGCTTGTGAAAAGATAGAAGAACATAGAAAGTAACGTAGGGCCTAATTTTAAATGATCCAGTTGAAGATCTGAATGTAGGTGAAGACAGAAAAGGAGGCTATCCTGGAAGTCTCTCTGTAGACTAGGCTGGCCTCAAACTCAAGAGATCCACCAACCTCTGTCTCCCGAGTACTGGGATTAAAGGCATGCACCACTAATTTCAGAGGCCACTTGTCAGAGAATCAGAATACACACTTCAGTTTTTCCTACTCCAAGCATCACGGTGCTTCTTAATATGTTCCTGGATGTGTCCAGCAGAGTCTTGATTCAGTTTGTTGTACTAGCAGCTCATTCAGCTCATTACTATTTGTCTCAGATTTCTCATTTAATGAACTATTATTCATCATTACACTGAAATACATTCATGTAAACCAGAGTGAACTTAGAATATTTTCACTATATACTAACTCCTAGCTAGTAGGGCTTAAGTATTTAACAACTTAAACAACTGACAACATTTCAAAGACAAATGATAATTCCATTTTGCTGTCCTGACTCTTTACAGATTCAGAAGACACTTTCCTTTCAAGGAAAACAAACATTGATGATGAGATGGCTTGCTGCCAAGCCAGACAACCTGAGCTGGACCCCAGGATCCACATGCTGGAGGAAGAGAACTGACTTCTGAAACCAATTGTCCTCTGACTCCACACATGCACATACCCCAATCCATAAATAATTATCTTTAAATTTTTAAAGGAAAACCAAGCAGAGTCTCCTTGAAAAATATATCCCCAGACACAAGAAACATGGGTAATGTCTTCCTTGATGTCTTGTAAATAGAAGTATTTAGAGTTATGCTGTTAGCTATTAGGTGGAGCAGCTAGAGAAACAGTGACACACAAGATGCACCTGGCTACCAGCTACTTAATCAGTGGGAAAACAGTTTATATATGTGCAGAGTCAACAGTCTTAAAATCTAGCACTTGCATAGTTGTAATAGTTGTAACCACCTGTTATAACATTGGTTGGTAACCATTTTGTTGTTGTTGTTGTTGTTGTTGTTATCTAATAAGCCCTTTTAGGAGCAATGAGCTAAAAAAGAAAACGCTGTTTAACACAGAACTACATACTTTATTTTCATTTCTCCTGAAAATGGATGGGCAGATAACTTAACCAGAAACCTTCAAGGATCCTGATCGTGGAAGTTTCAGTGTCACAGTTAATGAACTAGCTGTGAATGACAGAGAGAGAGAGAGAGAGAGAGAGAGAGAGAGAGAGAGAGAAAGACTGAATGGAACTATTTTACTCATCTGTCAATACAATGAAAAGTATGTAAGTGTATATATGTGTATATATGAGAAAACATCTGTGTTAACGGATTAGAAATGTTAACATTGTTAAGATAGCAAAACTCTTCAGACTCATCTACACATTCTATGCAATTCCTAGGAGAAGAAGACATCAACATTTTGTAGAAACTAACAAGCTGACTCTATCTAAAGTTCATACAGAGTTTCAATGAATTCAGAATAGCCAAAATATTTCTGAATAGGGGAAAAGCAAAGTTAGATGTCCAACACATTCAATTCCAAAATTTACTATAAAGCTATTATTTGTCAAGGCAACAATTCTCTGCACATGGAAGGATAAACAGATGAATAGAACAGAATTATGAATTCAGAATAAAGCCACTCCTTTATGGTTAATTGACTTTTGACAATAGCATCAAGATTATTTGACAAATGGTGCTGGGATACTGTACCACAAGCAAAAGATACTAACAAGCAAAAGAATGAAATTGGATCCTCACATCCTATATAAAAATTAACTCAAGCCAGGTAGTGGTGCGTGTCTTTATTCCCAGCACTGGGAAGGCAGAGGCAGTGGATCTTGTGAGTTTGAGGCCAGTCTGGTCCACAGAGTGAGCTCCAGGACAGGATACATAGCTACTGAGAAACACTGTCTCAAACAAACAAAAACAAAACTCAAAGGACCAGTGGGAAATAGTGATAGTCCCTAAACCTAACAACTTGAGTTCAATCCCTAGAATCCATATGACAGAAAAAGAAAACCTACTCCCACAAGTTGTCCTTTGACTAACATCTATACACACACAAATAAATGTTAAAAAAACAGCCTTTTAAAATTAGCTAAAAATGCATCAATCGAGAAATTATATAAGACTGAAACTCTTCAAACAAACAAATCCTCTTGGCCAGGTGTGGTGGCTTGTGCCTTTAATTCCAACAGAGGGATCTCTGTGAATCTGAGGCCAGCCTAGTCTACATAGTTACTGAGTTCCAGGTCAGCCTGAGGTAAAACCTATCTTTAAAAAAAAAAAAAAAAAAAAGTATGTTGGGGATGAACCTTTCTAATCTCAGATCTGGCAGATGAATCTTAGACTTCACAAGGACAAGCAGAAAAGGAATGTGGTACACACCTGTAATGCTAGCTGGCCCTTAGGAGCTAAGGGGGAATCACAATATCAGGAGTTTAAGGTCATCCTCAGCTATAAAGCAAGTTCAAGACCAGCCTGGGCTACAAAAGGCCTTGCTTGTTTCTAAAAAAGAAAAGTAATGTGACTGTCTCAGGGTTTCTTATTGCTGTGAAGAGACACCATGACGACAACAACTCATAAACACTTACTAGAGGTGGCTGACTTAGTTTCAGTTGATTGTCATCAGGATGGGGACCATGGTGTCATACAGGCAGATGTATAATGCTGCAGCTCAGAGTCCTACACCTTGACTCAGAGGCAACAGGAAGTCTACTGATATACTGGGAGGTAACCCTGAGCACATGAAACCTCAAAGCCTGCATCCACATTGACACACTTTATCCCAATAAGGCCACCCCTCCCAATAAGGCCACCCCTCCCAATAAGGCCACCCCTCCCAATAAGGCCACCCCTTTGGGGGCCATTTTCTTTCAAGCCACCACAGTGACTAATTTCGGCACTTAGCATGGATCATGCTGAGGCAGGAGGATAGTGATTTTGATGTTTTTAATCCACAATTTCAAATACACACACCCTTTTAAGACCATCTCAAAAACAACAAAGTTTTTTAACTTTTTATTTTTTGGGTTTTCAAGACAGGGTTTCTCTGTGTTGCCCTGGCTGTCCTGGAACTTACTCTGTAGACCAGTCTGGCCTCAAACTCACAGATGTGAAGTTTTTATTATAAGGAATTGGGGGAAAGGCCTACAAAAAACAAGTCTTGACCAACTTAATCCATGAATATTTGATACTGTTAAAATTCATGTGTTAAGGAAAAATTAGTCATGAAAGCAGTGAGGATATAAAAGAGAAAAAGTGCCAAGCACAAAGACATACCAGGACATTTCAATAATGTATGGCGCAAAGCAGAATCAACAGAATCAGTTTTAAACTGTTCTAAAGTACCAGATGGTACAGAATCCACCCACAAGACCATGGATAAAAGTATGCCAAGGGGAA